TACACGCGTCCGTCTCTGAGTCGCGCGACCCTTTTCCCTACCCTCCTGCGAATCCGATGCAATTCGAATTAATTTGATCCAGGAGAAACTCCGCACGATCGGTTATTTTCAGATTCCGCGCGCAGCTGGCGATCGCCGCGTTTGAATTTCAATTGTCAGCAATCAGGACGTTCGAGCGATCTTCTCAAATTCTGGACCACAGTTTCACATAATTCGAATTTTTCCGGCGCGAATACTTTAGGTTCATACTTGAAATTGAAGGTAGTATTTTAACACTAGATTCATGGACAATCCTCGTACAGTTTATTCTAATGTTTCTGGAGAAATTAATGTTCGTTTATTTAAATCTAGGAAATTAGAGGTTCAAAAATCAACGTATCAGATACATATTCGTATAATTGCATCAAAATCAACATTTACCAAATATTATTTATAAAATTCAATATTTGTCAATTCGACCCGCTCTGTGAAGCGAGTGTTATAGATTCAATGGTTAACATAAAAAATCAAATGTTATATTCCGAAGCGTGGAAAACGACGCGAGCAGAATCGTAACTTTTTATTGACCAATGAAAGATAAGAGATAAATAGCTCCCTCCTCCTATTCAACGATAAATAACAAATGGACGGATAAAGTAGGTGAGAGGACAACTTGCATGTTAAACATTTGTATTCATGCGAAACGCCGGAGTGTAAGTTCTGGTATTATGTAAACGGTCGCGTTTCGTGATAAACGATGTAATCATCAACGCATAATCTGGACAGATATTATTCAGTAGATACGCTCATTCCGTGGGATCGTGTTTTTGTCGACGCGGCGTCCGCGTCGGGGGTAATGGCTCAGAAACAGTTACTTAATATTTTGTACGCTTCGCTGAGCTATTGAAGCACCGCGGTCGGAGATGCTGAGTTTAGAGGCGCGTTTGAAAAATTGCGCGGGGTCAATAAGTTTCTGGAGCTAAGGATGAAAAATTGCTCTCCGAGTATCCGAGTCGATTTAAACGGGGCGAACGTTTTCGAAAAGACTGTCTCGGGGACAAATAAAACAGAGAGGAGGTCACGGATAAAGTGGCGAGAGATGCTTCGAAAATTTCTTCACTCGTCTGATTCCGAAATTTATTATTTCTATCTTCGTCGCAATCGAAAATACGACCAGCTTGTAACAAATGAATTTTAATAATGAAATTGATCATTTTTAAAATACAATTTTGTTTTACTCTTATAAAATTTAATTTTTAGTAACAATTCAATTTCTGGGATTTAAGAAATTAATGTAAGAACTCGAGGTTTTCAGAAAGATTCAGTTCTAAACATACGTTGATAGATATAGCAGTTATTTTTAGGTTTCTAACCTAAGTTCCGCAAGATTTGTGTAAATAGTCAGAGAACAAGCCAGACGACCGTTTTTGCATAATAATTTTCTTCGATCTCTAAGGACTTCCTACAGCTCCCGAAGCTTCCGAAGTACTAAACACTTTATTGAGCGATAAAATCGTTTAAGTGAATGACCCCTAATTACACAAGCTAGTAAACCCTCTTTATAGCTCGGCGTACACCAATGGCCGATTATCAACAAAGATAAGGACAATCCCTCCCACCGCCGAATGTCATGGAAACTTTATCGATTCGGTAAATCGTTCGTCAAGAGTGACTGAAACTGGAAATAAAGAAAGTAAAAAGGTTCTTGCGTAGGTCTGTGAGTAAACTTTTGACATTAACCGTGTATTCTACGTTACGAACCTCCGTGAAGCAAATCCTTCTTTACAAACATTCTCCATAAAAATGGAAATAGCGAGTGATATCAACTTTCGCGCAGATGCATGTGTTAACATTTAAAGAACAACGTGACATTTTATACAGTGAATTTTATTGACTCCTCGTCGCAAGACGTGATAACGAATTATGAAAATAAATGTATACGTCGATAGATGGTCAAACTTTATGATGTTCATTCAACGTAAAACGTTAGCAGACTCAAAAGAAAAGGAAATTCGATTTCTTGGAGCCCGAAGAGTGGAATATCCTCTGCAAAATCGCGAGAAATTTCTTTTTCCAGCGTAACCCTTTCATTAAACGGTTGAATATCTTCGGGGTCGGAATGCGCGGCGTTCGCGTCACGCGATGTCTCACGATGCGTCGAGTTCATCGCGCTAAATACGAGCCCACACGTCAAGTGAAGGGAAGACCGAGGAAAGTTCCGCATTTCCGTTTCGCAGGCGCAACATCATTAAAACTTTATCAATGACGGGGATACGTCGTCGGTGGTTCGGCCGCGCGTACCGCACGCCGGGCATGCGTGGTCCGGCCGGTACCTCCGCGCGGCAAAGTCTAATTATTGATCAACGCGCGCCGCTGGCACGTGAAAGAGGCCTTTTTGTTTTCCGGAAGTGTCGGTGACGACACACGTTGTGTGTGTATTTGCGATATCGCGGTGAAAGTATAACCGATAACGGGATTCCTGAAGTGTTCGCATACTTTTTTTCGAGTGGTTTCACCGGCGGGGTTGAAAAGTGTTCGCCGATCCTGGCTGGAAATTTTTGCATCGCACGGCGATCGAGATTGTCGATCTAAAACCTAGATTCTAGCTGTACGAGAATCGTTTCGTATAAAAACGAATCATTGTATTTGTCTTTGTGCATCTTAAAAAATTTGTTTATGCAACTGTACATTGGCAATTGTGAATTTAGATTGTTACCTATTCGGTTACAGAGAAATGAAACGTGATTAGTGGTTAAATGTAATTACTATTCGTTCTGTAATAGTGAGCATATTTGTTCATGTTCTTGTATTCTTCGATTGTCAGTTTATTTGAAAAATTCATTTTTCTTTTGTGCATTTATACTTGGTTAAATTGTTCACTTTCTCTCGGATCGGACCAAGCATTTCGATCACTGCACGTCGTCATGCAGGCAAGCAAAAATTTTCGAGTACACCGCTCACGATCCTGCTCGTGAAACTCGGGCAATTGCATACGAGTTACGTAAGAATATTTTGAAGAAACTGGACGGAATATACTCGGCCGGCGACTTTGAACTTCCCGACGCGCGTGGTTTGATGGCAGACGACGTGGTTGTGCTTTGCCCGTGTTTACTTGTAATTCTATTCGTACTGCCGCAAAATTGAGCAAGTAGACCGAATATATTCCACCATATTTCGACTCTTTTAGAGATATGAAATCTTAGAAACTTTATTTCGTAACAACCTTTT